CCGCTCCCTCCCTTCACCCCCCCCGGGGCCGACCCGGTCGGTGCCCACGTCCCGCCGCGTTGCAGGTGCGTGTCTCAGCGATGGCAGCGCGGGGGGAACGCCTCCAACTCCTGCACGGTGCTGGCGCTGCTGGGAGCCCCCTGCTCCTTCATGGGCTCGCTGGCCCCCGGGCACGCCGCCGAGTAAGTGGGGTGCGGGAGTTGGAAGGGGGGGTGTCTGTGCTGCTGGTGGGGCCCCCACCCTGACGCTGCCGCCGGCCCCTCCGTGTCTCTCCCGCCGGCAGCTTCGTCCTGGCCGACCTGCAGCGCTACGGGGTGGAGGTGTGCCACGCGGTGCGGCAGCCCGCCGGCCACCTGCCCGTCTCCATCGTCATCGCCAGCGCCAGCCGGGGCACCCGCACCATCCTGCACGCCGGCGGGTGCGTGCGCCCCTCACCCCGCTCTCTGTCCCCCAAGTTTCATTGTGGCGGATTTCCGGCGCCGGGGGGTGGACGTGTCGCATGTGGCCTGGCAGCCCCGCGGGGACGTGCCCTGCGCCTGCTGCATCGTCAGTGCCGCCAGCGGCTCCCGGACCATCGTGCTCTATGACACGTAAGGGCGCCAGCCCCGGCCCCGATCGCCGGTGGGCAGCGCTCGGCCGGGCCGGCTCGGAGCCGCGGCATCATCCCTGCCCCGGCCGCCCGGGGCTGCTCCCTGCGCCCCGGGGGTCTGGCAGAGGCTCTGCCGGTGCCGGCCCCGCGCTGCCTGCCGGGGGGTGCCACGTGCCAGATTGAGTGATTCCCTTAATTCTGCACACACAATGGCAGACAATCATCCCCGCAGCCCAAATCACCCCCGTGCCGCGGCCGCGATTGGCGGTGGCATCCCTGCGCGGCTGCGGGCTCTGGGGCCGGTGGGCAGCCGCAGTCCTCGCCACGGCGAAGGGCCGGCCGCGGTCACGCGGGCCATGGGGCATTGCTGGCCACGGAGGCTCTGGCCTGGCCACCGCCGCGCTGCCCTTTGAGTCCATCTCAGGGTCTCGCTGCGCCATCATTAATAATTCACCCGGGCGGTGCCCCCCCGCCGTGGGGACCTCTGCCCCGGGCGGCGCCGAGCCCTCCGCAGCCCCCGGGCTGCCCTTCGCCCCCGGGCACCAGCTCAGGCGGGGCACTCATGATGCTGTGGGGGGTCCCCCGGGCACCGGGCTCACCCGGGGCACTCCACGCTGAGGTGGGGGGGGGGGTTGTCCCCCTGCCCTGCCTGACCCCCACCCCGCAGGAACCTGCCCGACGTGACGGCCCGCGACTTCGAGCGGGTCGACCTCTCCCGGGACAAGGGGATCCACTGCGGGGT